TGTTTTTAAACTGGATAGTCCTGGTTATTAGAACTTTCAGTCCTGGTTTTTTAAATTTGGGCTTGGCCACCTTTTTTTTTAACGTTTTAAAGGGCTTGGCAACCCTAGTTTATGTTAACCTATGTTCATGTGACCGAGAAACCTAACTATAATTCGCGCGTTGACACAATATATGTATGTAAGTGGCCCATGGGAATTCGTGTCATAGTGTTCATGATAAGTTCGCCGACCTCACAGCCGGGGATTCGAACCCGGCCCGCGTCGCCGCGTCGATACGGACACCTAGCGACAATGACACTATCGTTAAATTAGTATGGATAACCTTTAATATTTATTTGCATCTTATTTAATTAAAATCAAATAAAAATGTTAAACTAAGTGTGTAACCAATATAGTGGTTACATTTATCAAAATTTTTGTCAAAGTAAAATACACTCTATGCCGGAAAATTGTAGGTTTAAATTATTAAATTCACTGTCTTTTATTGAGGAGTCATTTTGTTTAAAAGGTGAGCAAGTGAAAAAAAAGATGTTAAATCAATACCATGATCGCATCGCATTCTACCGTCTCTGTGGTTTAGCGGTTTAGCACACCACTTTACATCCGATGGTCACGGGTTCGATTCCTCGTATGGTACAAACATTTGTATTCATGACTATGATTGTTTGTATCGGACTGGGTGTTTTCTATGTATATTATGTATATATTTACAAAAAATATGTAATTATTTATATCAGATGTCTAGTACCAATAACACAAGCTCTCCTTACTGTAGAAACTAGATGGCGCCGTGTTAATTGTCCAGGGTTATTTATTTATTTATTTATTACTTCTTAACATTACCAACGGTGTTGCAAGCGGTAACTGCTGAATATTTATATCAGGCAATAATTCCAATGTTGATTGAAGGTTGTTGAATTAAATTAATCGGTTTTAATTATGTTTTATTGACGGCGCAATGGGAATTGGAAGTACTATTTATCCTTGCATCGTGTAATAACAGCATACTTATGTGATGCTGTACATTATACTTTATACCCATGCGACATATACTCGTATTTATTCATACTAATAGTCGCTTAGTGATTAAAAATGGGCCATAATTAATTTAAATAATTCAGTCATAATTAGTTTGAATATTATTAAGATTCTATTATCAAAGACTATGCGTGTATGTATCAGATACATAGTAGGGTGTGTAATCTTGCCTTTATAATTGACTAAATACTCTACTAGCTAGGTATGGATGTACATGTATTATATATATAAACCTTCCTATACAATCACTCTATCTATTAAAAAACACCGCTTCAAAATCCGTTGCGTAGTTTTAAAGATTTAAGCATACATAAGGATGGACGGACAGCGATAGCGACTTTGTTTTATACTATGTAATGATTTTATGCATTTATGCCTAATTTAAAAATGATTAGCATTCTGCACTGTATAAACTATAAGTGTGCAATGTTCGTAAAAAGTTTACAGGTTCAAAGTTTTTGTTTCATATTAATGTTATGACATATTATTATATCTATAGGTACTAATTATATTATATTAAAATGTTTGTTTGCCTGACTACTACTTTACTTATTACATATTTACCCATTCATTATTGTATGAACAGAAAAATAGAAAAAATTTTATGTGAAAAAAAATATTTTATGTTCGTTTATTATAAAGTTTTATTTCTTTGGATAAAAATAAACAAGTACATATATATTTGATCAATTAAAAATAATGTCTTATTTTTAATTGATCCAATATACATGATATTATACACTTCACTATTAAAGTTGAATTCCAAAATTAAATAATTATTACGCAAAAAAAATTAACTGTCGATAAAAATATATCTCATAAATAAATTAGAAAGGTACATCCATACTATCTCAATGTAGTAATGATGATACAGCAGAACGTGAGTCGGATGCTGCGTCAGCCAGTCATCACCCACAATAGGGGGCGTGTCATCACTCAGGGGTGCTTATTAACCCTTCTTGTAATCCACCCCTTCTAATTAGTACTACTTAGAATTATATCCGTCTTTCATCTCAATATATATTTCGATGGCCTAGTGGTGTAGTGGTTTATCACACCGCCTTAGCTCCGATGGTCGCGGGTTCGATTCCTTCTACAACGTAAACTTTATATTCAGGAGTGTAATAATTTGTATTGGTTTGATTGCATATATGTATGTATTTAAGTATTTTTATCAGTTGTTTAGTACCCATACTCAGCATGCAAGTAAACAGTAAGCTTACCTTGTGATTATATTGTTCTATGTTAATTGTCCACTGTTGTTATACAAATTTCCAGGGATTATATTTTTTAATTCTGAAAAGAGAAAAAGAAATATATTAATAGAAAAAAAGTTATTTAATTTTCAAAATGTAAAGTGACTTCTGGGCCACCCTGTATAAAAAATACCCCATTTTCTTATAAGTATTATAATTTTCAATAAACTCTTTAGAAATAAGATATTTTTCTTATTTTGTTTTTTCTTTTATTTTTTCTAAACAAGTCAACGAATATTAATACGGTTTTCACTATCGATTCATTTTTTGGGTGTATATCTTTACATAGTATAAAACAAAGTCGCTGTCGCTGTCTGTCCGTCCCTATGTTTGCTTAAATCTTTAAAACTACGCAACGGATTTGAAGCGGTTTTTGTAATACATAGAGCGATTCAAGAGGAAGGTTTATATATATAATATATGTACACCGTGCAAAGCCGGGGCGAGTAGTAGTAACATATATATAAATATATATATATATAAATATATATATATATTAAAGTATATTCAGACAGTATACCAACTCGTTGACGGTCGCAGTCATCGGTCGACGTAATCGCACCGATCTTAATACTGTAACGGGACGGTGCCCGGCGCCGGCGCAGCAATTCGTTTTGTTTTATACGTTTCGCGCAATTAATTTTATATTTACACTCGTGTTAATGTGAGAGGACGAATATAAATTATACTTTTTTATTTACTCAATGCAGGCATTTGTTTGTTTATCTATATTACTGCTTATCGTTAATGCATCTCCATAATTTTGTATACTATTAGCTATCCGTCTTGACTTGTCTTATATCTTATATCGTGTATAGACACATAGAATAATAATAATCTCAAGACAATTCACATAGCGCCATCTAGACCCAGGTTAAGCTAGCTAAAGCTTGTGTTATGTGTACTAGACAACTAATACAAATATATAGATATATTTTTTTTCGTAAATACATACATATTATACATAGGAAACACCCAGACCGACACAAACAATCATACTCATGAATACAAATGTTTGTGCCGTGCGAGAAATCGAACACTTGTATTATACAAGCATATATATCCGTGGCGTAAACTTTGTTTTGTACTATGTGAAGATTTTATTAAAAAAATAATTGACAATAATATTTACATTTCGTATTAAACTCTATTTAGAAAATTATATTTCGAAGTTGACTGTAATTTTATATACCTATTGTGTGTGTTTATAAAGAGGGTTCGATTTTGATATTTTCACTATTGTATGACTGACTGGATTCGATTCCAGATCGGATGAACTTGCATAAAAACTTTTAAAACGTTAAAAATTTCATACAATATAGCAAATTTTTTTAACCAATCAACTAGTTGAGATGTAGTTTTTTTTTTTTAATTTCCTTGTGGTGTGCCGCTGCCGGCACGGGAAGCTGCGGTCGTGGTCATGTATCTTAGAATTATCCTAACGACTTATAGATACTAGCAACCGCTCGTGGGGGAACAATAAATAAATAATACTGGATAATCAACACAACGCCATCTAGTCCCACGCTAAGCAGAGCTTGTTGACTGGTAAAAGTCCGGCATATATACAAATTATAATTGACGTTAAATTAATTATATATATATATATATATATATAATTGATTTAACTTCACGTTGTTTTGCCATATAAATTATATCGCTATTAAAAAAAGGAATTGACGTTAAATTAATTATATATGTGTATATATAATTATTATTTTAATGCCACATTATAAGAAAAAAGTTGTTAAGGGTGGACAACCCTTATCACTATTGGTATGAAAAATAGTAGCCAATTTCCAAACCTATTGAATATGCATCTGTCACGCCGTTTCGGGAATATGTTAAGAGAATTTTATATATAAGATATGGTACCATAGGCTGTATCACAGTTTTCCCGCGACCCCGCCTACAGGATGGGCCGTGAAACTCACACAAACCAGCTCTGTTAATTGTTCGAAAGCACATAGCTCAACCATTAGCGACAACATGCAGTCGATTAATTGTCCGGTGATTTTCATTCGATATGTATCCGGAATATAAGAAATTGTTTAATACTATCGGTTACACGCGGCGACGTCTGATTTGTTTTAAATGACACAAGATTAACTACGTCCTTCCTCTATTCAAAAGAGCAACACATATGTTTCTTACTCATGCTTCTTGTGATGAGTCTTTGTATCTAATGAGTTTATTTCATTAAATATTATTTTCTTGATACAGATCTTCAACTTTTTCTTTAAGATGCAATCAAGTGTTTACTTGTGAAATGTAAAACAAACAGATAAGATAATTTCGTATTTGGTAACATATAGTCTAGACCCTGAGAAAGGACATAGGTTACTTTTTAGTATTACTTTTACAAAGAGGGTTGTAAGGGGTTGAAAGGGCAGATGAATGGTTTTGTAAAAGAATCGTCATTTTTAAAGCTAGAAGCTTTTCTATTATTTGGGCTGTTGATTAAATAGAAATAAATATGATATTTACAGTTTGTATCGAAATTTGTCTTTCGTCGTAAATTCTTCGCAGACTCAGCTAAGTCCCAAATAAAGGAGAAAAAACAATATCCCAAAAAAATGTTGTATGTCTAGATGTTTTCATCATGATCATGACGTCGATAATTGATGAGCCTCTGACTACACTATCGGACGTAGCAGCTGTGACGATAAAGTTGTGTTATGTTAAATATCGTTTTTTTCTTTGCAGGGTCGCCATAAGCGCAACGCTACGTTTCCTGGAGGGCAGACAGGGAGTTTACTGCAGTCATCGACAGCTAGAAGTAAGTTACTGAGACTTTATACAAAGTCGTTTTATAATAGTAATAACCCTGCCTATAAAAAGGTTCTGGAGATCAGGAGCACTTTGTACTAATTGAATAAACATACATCTCTAAGGTACAGATAATTCACACAGCGCCATCTAGTCCCAAGCTTGTTTTATACTAAACAACTGATACAGTTATGTATATATATTTTTTGTAAATACATACATAATATACATACTGTTAGAGAAATCAAACCCGCGACCATCGGAAGTAAGGCGATGTATCAAACAGTTAGACCACCGGACCTGTCATGTCATGTTATGCCGGGTCTCAATCTAAGATATTTTTTTAAATATACGTTGTACATTATGTTCTCCTTCCATTTTTTATTAATTTTAATACGAGTTTACTAATTTGACTAGGGCCGTCAGCAAGCAGCGCAATATAATTAAACGACCAACCACCGGTCCGGTCATCGGTCACTCAAAGTTGGTTTATGTTAGACATATTATCATAAACATCATAAACGCTTTTACTTGTAGAATACTCTGCAGATGCGTCAACACTACGCGACGTGGCGGACGGCTGTGGGGCAGCCAGGCCGAGGTACTGCTCTGGCGGGACCACGACCTGGCCTGGACCGCGGGTCCAACCACCTCAGCCAGAGATCCCGAGCTTGGCGGCGCCCACACCAATCGACACCAAAGGTACGTCTACCCTACAATATTTGCGCTATCCACAAATTACTTTACAACAATTGTAATATATTTTTATGACTATTTTTTTTAATGGATGACGTTCATCTGCCTGCGCTAACACTAACGGTTTAGCGGACGGGGCACTAGTGGAAGATGATAAGATACTCTTTATTCAAAAGGCAGTTTATTTATTTATTTCATCACGCATTCTCTACCAGTCTTCCTTCCTGAAGTGCAGAGATATTTGATGGCTGATTAACATTCAATATACAAATCACATGTATAGAAATATTAGACTAAACTAAAACTGGTATTAATAATGTGTACGATAATAATATTATTAATACAATATATTATATATATACATATACATGAACATGAGGTCAGGTCAGCCCGTCATAACAAATTCACCACGAATTTACCACGATTGTTTCCAGGGGTAACCGCATGGAGGTCACCCTGATATGGTAAATTGCTAGCGATGTAGTCATTACTAACAATTCCTTTCCTCCTTTGTCATACATTGAAGTTTTATTTATTTATTTATTTATTAGCATACAAAACAGATTACAGTCAATATAATAATATAATAGGAGCGTGTAGTTCGGTACAGAACTGGATTGTAATCCAACACTATGTATGCCTAAGAGCTAAATTATAAGCGTATATTCAATATACGCTAGATAATTAGATAAGGTTATATAATAAAAAGTAAACTAAATAGAAAATGATATATAACTACGTAATGCAATGAATTATCATGTTAACAGAATTTTATTTATATTAAAGAAAAGAAAATTGGTACAATGTTAAATATAATTTGTCTCTTTACGGTGGAAATTTAATTGTCTCCGGAACTGGACCAGCGTTGAATGGAAAATATCTATATTTCTATTCGAGACAAGAATTTTTAGTAGGGATCCCAATTTTTTTAGTTATAAATATAGCCTATATATCCATAAGTAACATGGATAACGTATATTTGTGTTGTAACTGGCTAGTAAAGAAATGTTTTATATTCTAAATTTGTATTTGAATTTATAGTTCTTTTATATTACATTCTTGTTTTTGATACTTCAATTCCTTCTTTCTATTCCTAATTGTCAGTAGTCTATCTTATATTGAAAATTCTCGTGTCACAGTTTTCGTTCCCATACTCCTCCGAAACGGCTTGACCGATTCTCATGAAATTTTGTGAGCGTATTGAGTAGGTCTGAGAATCGGTCAACATCTATTTTTCATCCCCCTAAATGTTAGGGGTAGTCCACCCCTAAATTTTTATTTTTATTTTAAGGCAAAACAACGTTTGCCGGGACAGCTAGTATTAATACATATTTTTCTCCGTTTATCTTATTACATGAATAAACTACAACAGTTTGAAATGGTGAAAGAATTTTCAAAATCAAAATCCAATATTACTGAGTATTGTCGTTACATAGGAAAATATACATCTTTCTTCTTTATAATATCAAGTTAGATTTATAATCAGTACAGCAGTTTGTACTTTCGATGCGTATTTTTATTCTCGCGAATTGACATAAAGTTGCATCATAAAATCAATGGTAAACAAAATTATATTGGCTTTAAAATTGATCAAAGACTGTCGGTCCCGTCGATTGATGGTATCTTGATTCACCATACGCCATTTACTCCGTGTTTATGACTGCACTTGACTCACTGTTCATTAAATTTTACAACTCAGCCCTGTGAAAGAACTTATTAAAGTTCGAACGGGCGACGAAATTAACTAAATCCTTTATTTTACAATTGTTTCCCCAAAAAAAGCTACTAGGTGCCAATCAAAAGAAAATTACGTCTTACGAGACTAAACCTAATTACGTGCGTCGCAGCCTCAGGAGTTAAAAAAAACCGAAATTATTTTAATATATTTAATTAAGAATAAAATATTACAAATTAAAATCTAACTATAACTATCTTCGGACGAAGTTGGTACCGAATTAGATTGAATTGACAAATACTGAGCCGCGGAGACACTACACTGCGGTGTCAAGTCAGTAGTTGCCTAGCGCGGTGGCGCAGCGAAGATGTGGAGCGCTGACTCGACATTTCCAAGTACTGGCACAAAGTACAAGGCTGTGCTCCTCATCAGCAATTTCTCCTAAATAATGCGTATCAATATTATTAATCCGAATGTATGTATGTATGTATGTAGTATGTCCTGAAATGAAATTTTATGTGAAGATACATAGATTGTCACGAGGGATTTTTATTATAACCATAGATAATAATATTTTCACATTTCTTCCCTTGTTACTTATTACGATCGTCCGATTGAGTGCTAAATTAGACCAGTTTAACACAGCTCTGGTTTTTTCCGAGACAGCTGACCCTAAAAGAACTCTAAAACTCCAGAATGCCAACAGAACTACTATAATTACGCATTACATAGGATAGAAGAAAAGATACTTGCGTTCAATAGTGTTGACTAACTCGAATTGTTTACTATTTAAAAATGGTGGATATACGTAATTATTCATCTCTTGTGTAATTTATGTATCTATATTATATATTATAGTTTTTATTGTCAGTTTTTCGCCATCACTGTGCTACAATGCTTTTTATTTCCACCTAAAGGTTAGCTGGTAGATAATGCCATTGCATGGCTTTAAGCTCACCTTTTGTACAATAAAGGATAAAAAAGGTACACGAAATCGCGGGAAAATAGAATTTCGTCTAGTGATAAAATGTATCCTAATTAAAGTTAACTAATTCCACCCACTGTATTAATGACAAAATGATATTGAAATACAATTACGACATTCATTATGTCACAATAATACCCGCTCCATTCAAGTATCGAAATGAATGTATAACAAATTATAGAGTGCCGCCAACATGCGCGCGCGCACAATAATTGGGTGTAAAAATGCAATAGCGCGTGCGCGGGGGCGGCCGCGACGAACACGTTGCTTATGCGCCATTTGTAATTTTGTAATTCAATAATTCTCCGATAATTTGTATCTTTGGAATATAATAATACTAATAATGTCGCGGGGTGGTCGCGGGTTCGATTCCTCGCACGGCAGAAACTGGGTCTGGGTGTTTCTCTATGTAATATGTATGTTTTTACGAAAAAAAAATCTATGTACTTGTATCCGTTATCTAGTACCCCTAACACAAGCTTTAAATAGCTTAACTTGGGACTAGATGGCGCTGTGTGAATTGTCCTGAGATTATTATTATTATATTATTATTAATAATATCTTCGAATGAAGCAACTCACAATACTCATATCGATAGAACTTCACTTTAACAAGTTCATTTGTCTTATTAATTTTTGAATTATGTTACAAAAATACTACATGTATTTATTGTCATTTGTTTATATGTTTCCCTCCTTGTATTCCCTGTACGGGAATTATAATTCTGCATACTGATATAAGAATTCTCCCATTGCTATAAAACATATTTCAACTCATCTACAATCATAATTCATCAGAATATTTGCAATATATTTATGCAACACAAATTCAAAACAAAGCGGCAAACGAGCATTTCCTTTTTCACACTCGTAAATTGATCAAAAATAATATATTACTTATTAAACTGTCAAAGATTAATCCCACGGTTCTTAAATTTTCACTCTATTCAGCCATTCCCAAGTATGACGTCAGTCGGGTCATAATTCAAACGTGCATGCATCAGATATAATACAACGTTGCAACAAACAGACGTACCTACAGATAATTTAGCACCTTACGTCCCACTGTATGTACTGTCAATGAAAATTACCATTACAAATTTTGACAGCGTGATAAATCCCTATTATAGTACAAGAGCTTGTAACAATTTGTAAAGACTTCATTTACACGATAAATCTAAGAAGAGTTTTAATTTTAATATATTAAAAAAAAAATACAAAATGCCATTACAGTAATAGGATTGTAAATGGCAATCTTACAATAAAAGATAGCGGGAAAAGAAAAGTGCTCATATACAGACACACAATCATAGGTATTCTTTATACTTATTAATAATATATGTATATCGTCCCTATAGTATTATGTGTCCGAAGGATAAAAAAGAAATAAAAGGTGTATAGAGCATGTAAATGAAATAGAAAAGTGAATTAGATAAAATTATTAAAAAGAAGTTTCTGGTACATAGCGCTGAGAAGTAAGTAAGGGTAAAGTAAAGTCATCAGTGCCATGCCTTTTTCCCATTATTTGGGGTCAGCGCAGTATGTCAACCTCTTCCATTGATCTCTCTGGCTGTCATATCTGACCATACTCCCCTATTATTCATATCATCTTTCATACAATCCACATCCATGCAGGTAGCGTAAACTCACATAAATAATTATTATTTCACTACTCAAATATAACTATACATAATATATTTTTCCTCTAATTTTATAAGTCTATTGATTGCAGCAATAATAGCAAATACAACTTAAAATTAAAATTATCAATTTTAATTACTGCTCTCGTCAACTGATCATCAGCTCTCTGACTATTACTTTACTGATGTGGGCTGTCCAACTCAAGTTATGTACCAAATGTCTAATTAATGCAAATTCTAATATATTACTAGTAATCGCAACATGGTATTAATTCATTAGACAATTTAATTCAAGTAGTGACTATATTTAAGACCGTACGGTAGAAATCCGTGATAAAGATCTGATAGGGATATGCTTAGGAGTGGTTAATTATCAGTAATTAATTTGTGTATAATTCTGTTTTCCTGCTACAACACTTGTAATACTCGTTTCAGGATACACCGCTTTTTAGTACCGACGGTCGTGGGCTCAATTCCTTTCATAGCACAAATATTTGTATTCATGTTTGTATTGGTCTGGTCGTTTTCCATGTCTGTTATGTAGGTATTTACAAAGTGCATCTAAGTATTCGTAACTAGCTTTAGGCTAGATGGCGATGTGTGAATGTATGTATATATAAAGATTTTTTTTGGCGAGATACGAAATCACACCTTTTTTTCGGTCTAAAACGGTGTAAAAACACTGAGCCACTTTACTCTCGTCCTCA